TGTATGTACCGACACCGCAGACACTGGTTGTGAGGGTATCGGTGCACCGTCGATGGTTGGTTCTGTGCGCACAGGAGACACATGTCGTGTCTGTGCAGAAACTGCCGCGGAGGCTGCTCCTGGAGATGTACGTCGTTGTTGTCCTGCTGAAGCTTGTGGTGCTTCGGCGGACGCTGCCGTCGGCCTGTGCGGGTCGGCTGCAGGTCGAAGGTGAATGTTGGTGTCGTTAGTGTGGTCGATCAGCTGATTCGTCCAGCTCGTCATGTCTTCTTGTATTTGACCCACCTTTTGGCGTGTATACTCATCAGTATCCCGAGACCGTTGGGAATACCGATCAAGTCGTTGCTCGCATGCTCGGAGACGGGCGCTTTGTGCCTCCACCTCGCTTTCCAGTCGTGCGAGATAACTCTCAACACGTACCTTCTCAGTATCTCTTTCATGAATAACCTGGGAGAGCTCTAACTGCGTGTGGTCCGCCGCCTTCTCAACCTCCTGCAACCTGTCAGTGAGGCGGGCGAAATCGTAAACCGTGGGAGGAGAATCCAGCTGATCAGTCTGGGCTCGTCCGACACGCAACTCTGCCAGGGCGTCCTGTACACCAGGGAAACGCTGCTCTATGTCAGAGATCCGGTTAGCGAGTGGCTGCACGACAGCGTTGGTCGCATCAAGCCTTTGAGTGATGACTCTCTCAGTACGCTGCAACATGTCGATCAGGTTCGACGAGTTTGTGTGTGCTTCGGTACGAAGCGTCGCCGTAGTGTGGTCTAGGTAAGATCGAAGATCATTGATCTGAGACTGAACGTCGCCGAGGTCTGTGGCCTCGGTTGGGGTTGGTCGGTTACGGAGCTGGTCGTGGATCTCATCGTGTAAAATCCTGACCGCAGAAATGCCTGTGTCGCGTACGATCACAAGTTGTTGCTCCATCTGCGCGAGATAGTTGCGCAGGTTCTCGACCATCGCCGTTCGTTCACCTGAGTGTGACACCTCACGATCAACCTGGTACTGCAGTTCTCCTATGATGCGTCTATCTTCGGTGATCCTGGAATCGATGATCCCTAAGGCGCCGTCAAGATCGCGGCGTATGGCTGCAGTATCCGTGGCATTCGTCTGAACGCTCTGTAGTAGTCCAGAGTATTGGCTGGACACGAAGGTTTCAACCTGGTCTCTGAGCTCAGCTACGTCACCTGCGGCGGACGTCTCCGCCAGCTGGTCGTCTGAGATGGAGAGGTGGGGAGCGTCAGCTTCCCTGTGTCCCCTGTCGCGGGGAGTGCGTGGCCTCTGAGAGGCAGTACGCGGGCTCGACCTGCTCTCGCCGTATGGGCCTGGGGCTCCACGGCGGTTGCGCGCGGACGAGCTGCGACTCGGACCATGTGTGTGTGATGTCTCATCCGATGATACCTTGGGGTACCGCGTCTGTGGCTGTGCCGACACTGGTCTACTGAGTTCCTCGAAGGTAGCTACGTGCTCCGCCACAGGGACGGTCGCAGGGCTGGGGGTTCCAGCACCTGAGGTCCATCGGCGGTTAGCGCGGAAGCGCCCTGGAGTATCGAGACCGGTAAGGCTTTCGCCTGACGCGGTTGGGATTGCTCCCGACGGGGAAGGGGAGGGAGGATCAAAGGTCGGCGTGTGAAACTCCTTCCTTCCTGTTCCTACTCCTTCTCCTGTCCCCCCGCGGGCGGCGCTGCGGCGAAGTTCAGCAGCTAGACGCGCCTCGGGTCCTCGGGAGCTGGGGGGGGTATCGGGGACACCAACACAGTCCGCACTAATGCTCTCCAACTCGTCACCGAGCCGTCGCACCGTGGGAGAGCTTGGACGCGAAGCCCCAATGGAACCCTTACGGCGCATGCGCCGAAGCGGCTCCATTGGGCTCGCATGCAAGGTCACCGCGGGCGAGTCGGTGAAGGTGAGCGTTAAAGGGCTGATAACCTGTGTATGGGGTTGAAGTACAAGAGTACAGAACCCCTGATCCGTTGGTAGAGAGATGGAGGGATAGATGGATATCTTTCCCTCCCAAGCGATCAAGGTACGATCGCTCCAACTCAGTACCTGAGCCCAAACGGCCAGGTGCGGGAGAGGTAAGGATAAGGAGTATATATGAGGGTATTACACGGGTTCCATACACAAGAAGAGGAAAGACTTGCCAGACCATTGAAGCAAGGGCTCCCAACTTCGCGCCCCGCGCCGCGCGAAGCGCGAACAACTTCGCGCCCGCGCGCCGCCTCCCAGGGGAGAAGAGAAGGATGAGGAGGAATTGTAACCGAAGCGCGAAGCGCGAATTACTTACCAGCCTGGAACATATCCCTATCCCTATGCTGGGCACCTCCTCATCACGATGCCAATCTTAGGGATTCCCTCAGTTTTTGAGGGCGAACCCCTAAGATTGTCATCGCCTTTTGGCGTGCCAATCTTAGGGATAGGGATACGTTCGAGGCTTGTAAATTACTTCGCGCCCTGGAGGAGGAGGAGGAGGAGGAGGAGGAGGAGGAGGAGGAGGAGGAGGAGGAGGAGGAGGAGGATTGATTGAGGAGGAGGGAGGAGGAGGAGGAGGAGGGGAGGAGGAGGAGGAGGAGGAGGATCGAGGGCGCCCTTGCCAAACCATGTAATATTCGGAGGTCCTTCGCGGACCTCTCGGACCGGCCCCCGGCCCCCCCTGGCGGCGCCTCGGGCACGCACCCCCGCTGGCGCGGGAACCCGGCGCCCCGGGCAGGGCCGCCGCGGGGCCCTCCGAGAGCTCATGTCTCGGCCGACATCTCTTCCTCGAGATAGGTGGAGAAACCTCCCTTTAGTAAACCTCCCTTTATTGAAAACGGCCTGGGACCGAAACCGACGGACCTGGACCCGCAAAAATGACGGCCGCGACGCCCTCTCGCAAACGAAAACGGCCAATTCCTCAATCGACGTGTCAGGGTAGGAGGTCTGTCCAACCCCGATCCTCGAGATAGTGGAGTTAAGTCGAGCGTGTCCCCCTCTACACGGGGGTTTTCGACGAAAAACTGAAAACATCCAAACATGCCCCACAATGGTAACAAAGAGTACTCAAAAAATAGTCCCCAGACTATTTTTTGACAATTTTGAATTTTCCTCCTGCAGAGGGACAGGCCCGACTTAATAGTGGAGGAGTAATCAACGCCAGGACATCAACATCAGCAACACGCCATAACATGAGCATGACAACAGCGCCTTCTCGCAAGCACCAGCATGACGCCACAGCACGAGCGTGCAACACAACGCCACGAGCGCGTTCTATCTTCTCCGAGACATACGCAGGAACTACTCATCGGAGGTCCGCGCTGACTTCTTCGGCCCGCGCTGCGCCCCTCTCCCTGGCGCGCCGAGCGCGCCAGGGGCTGCGCCGCACGGCGGCTCCGGCGCCGATCCAAGAGATCCTGGCGGACCTGCGGCGGTGTTTGTGCTCATGCGACTTGCTGTGCCTCGATCCTCTCAGTCCTTCGAGGCCTCCTAGGGAGGGGGTCGGCATAGACGGGGTCGGAGGACCGCGCCGCATCGCCGATGCATCGGGGATGCACCAGCGACGCATCGTCGACGTCGGCGATGCATAGGCGACGTCGACGTGAAGCAAGTCGGGCCCTACGTCGAGCCGCATCGGCGATGCGGCGCGATCCTCCGACCCCATCTGCTCGGGCCCCGTCTAGGAGGCCTAGATCCACGCCCTCACCTCGCCCGGGGTGCATTCTGACCAGGATCTCGAGGCGAGTCCAGCGGTGGCGACAAGGGCCTCCCAAGAGGCCGAAAAAGGGGAAAAGGCCCAAAGGTAGCAGCATGGCTTGGCGCTCCTGTGCCGCCCCCACGGGAGAAAGGCAAGCCTCGGATCCCTCGAGGCACGGGCCGCGAGAGACCGCGGACCGCGACCGGTCCCGCGGCTTCGCCTCGACGGCTGCCCCCCGCCGCCCCCCGCTCTCTGCTCCTGTCGCTCCCCCTTATCTAGGGGCGCCCAGGAGGAGGAGGAGGAGGAGAAGGAGGAGGAGGAGGAGGAGGAGGAGGAGGAGGAGGAGGAGGAGGAGGAGGGGAGGAGGAGGAGGAGGTGGATGAGGAGGAGGTGGAGGAGGAGGAGAAGGAGGCGGAGGCGGAGGAGGAGGAGGAGGAGAAGGAGAAGGAGAGGAGGAGGAAGAGGAGATGGAGGAGGAGGGCTTCTATGTCTCCCGGGCTTCTGGGAGAGCGACGATTCTCCTATGTTCTCCCGGGCTTCTGGGAGAGCGACGATGACTTGGGTCTGTGTCTACGTTCCCCTCCTGCTGATCAGGGCCACTCGCCTGGGCATCGCTCCTGGACGGGCTGGCGGGGACACGCGACGCGCCCGGAGCAAGCCCGCATGCTGGCCTTCGAGGTCCGCCCCCTCGGGGCCTCGACGCTGCCGCGCCGCCCCCCGGCAGGAGGCGAGCGAGCAGACCTCGGCTCCCTCGGAGGCGCTCCGTGAAGCCGCGGAGCGCGCGCGGCTCCACTCCAGCGGATTCCGCGCGGCTCCCCAGGAGGGGGGGGTGCAGAGGAGGAGGAGGGGGAGGGGGGGAGGAGGAGGAGGAGGAGGAGGAGGAGGAGGAGGAGGAGGAGGAGGAGGAGGAGGAGGAGGAGGAGGAGGAGGAGGAGGAGGAGGAGGAGGAGGAGGAGGAGGAGAGGGGGGAGGAGGAGGAGGAGGAGGAGGAGGAGGAGGAGGAGGAGGAGGAGGAGGAGGAGGAGGAGGAGGAGGAGGAGGAGAAGGAGCTTTTCCTCCCGCCGGCTTCCGCCGGGCCTCAACCGGCGGAGCCGTCCAAGCACACGTCTCCCCGACGTCTTGCTCCTTTCGCACCGTGGGTCCTCCCCCGAGGCCCAGGCCAATGTTTCACTTTTTGTTGCTGTTGGACGGCCAACGGGTCCATGAAAGGTCCCCGCGATGCCGACCAAGTGAACTAACAAAACGCCGCCAGTTCCTCGTATCAGTTTAGTACTTCTTCTTCTTCGGCTGTTCCATGACATTGACTGCTACTCCCCTCCCTGGGAGTCGCGTCTTGAAGCCGCGGGCCAGCTGCGAGAACGACAAGCCGCTGGCCGCTGGGCTCTTCATGGCGGAGCGGTCGAAGGTGCGCGGCTTCACAGGTTCCTTCTGGGCAGACGGGTGGAAGCGAGGGAGAGGTTCACGATCGGGACGAAGACGAAACGAGGAAGAGGAGGAAGAGGAGGCTGACGGAGGAGACATGAAGACGACGAGGAAGAGGAGGAAAAGGAGGAGGAAAACAAGAGGAGGAGGAAAAGGAGGAGGAGGAACAGGAGGATGATGAAGAGGAGGAGGAGGAGGAGGAGCAAGAGGAGGACGATGAGGGAGGAAGACGAAGGAGATGCATGACGACGAGGACGAGGGGAGGACTGGGATGCTAATCTTTGTTAATCGGCACTCGGGCACGGAGGTGTTTGGAGAATCCTGGGAGATTTCGGCACGTCTTGGACCTTCTTTCGGGCCTCCAGGGATGGATTCGGGGCCAATCCCATGGGGCAGAAACAGCGCTTACCCTGACGAGGAGGGGGGTGATAAGGAGACAAGCGGCTAGGAGGAATCTACGCTTCAATGGCGAAGCGAAGAGGAATATGAGGGTGACGAGAAAACGGGGGGGAATGTGTGAAAAGAGGTGGGGTGGGAAGGAGGGAGAACAACGTGGGGGAGGCTTAGATAATCAGGTACTCAAGTCAACCGACTGGGACTTTATGGCATGACCATTTCGTTCGTGATTGCGCGTTGCATCACCACTCGGCTATGTGCTGAACTTAAAGACTAGATATGCTTGATCAAGAGGGGCTTTTGAGTTCGAGTCGGGCTTTTCCGTTGGAGTCGTCGTCTGCGTCCTCCTCTGTTCCGTTTGCCTGGGCCCTCTTGCTCATACGCGCCGACCAAAGCAAAGTCCCACCAGCCTTTGGACGACAGGTGGTCTAACGAGGGTCTCTTTCCTCTTCCACAACCCCTCTTCCCCTCGGGGAGGGGAACCCTCCCCCTTGCCTCCCTGAGGTTTTTTGGGAAGGATCGCGAGGTGTCGGAGGCTCCTTTTACCGGCCAGTGCGAGTGCCATTGTTTACCACCCCTCACGAGGATCGTGGCCCCCGAGGGGGGGACACAAATCGAGTACCCCCCCTCTTTTGACTGACCGCCTCCAAGATGGCCCCAAGAGGCGCTCCAGGGCTCCGGGGAGACCCCCAAGAGGACCCCAACAGCGCCCCGAGATGCCCCAAGAGGGCCCCAGGAGGCACCCGAGAGGCACCCAAAGAGGCCCCCGAGCGGCCTCAGAGAGCCCACGATGACCTACAAGATGGCGCAGATACGGTGAGGGCATTGGACAAGCAACCATTGGATAAGGAATCCAGGGTCTGGAAGCCAGTGGAACTCCAATTGAGGCTTGGTCATGGGTGTCACCGCCGCCCTCATCAGATAAGGAACCCCCCACCCCAGGGTCTGAAGCCTCCTGGGCATATTCCTTGACCAACGCCCCCCCGTAGCCCAAGCTGGCTCAAGATGGCTCCCAATATGCTCCAAGCGGCCAGACCCCACAGCCCTGGCTTGAGCAGGGACCGACCGTCCCGGCATTCCTATAATCATACCACGAAAACTCCGCCAGACATGTCCTGAGAACGCTTCGTGGAAACCACAGAAAAAGGCTCCTAGAACATTGTCTGGTAGGCCTATAGGCGAGCCGGGACGCTTCGCCACTACTTGCAGGATGGCTCCCAGGATACTCCGGGCGGCCGGACCGCACAGCCCCGGCGCCCCGGCCCGGCGCCCCGGCCCCCGCCCTGCCATGGCCCCCGCCCCTGCCGTGGGCCCCGGCCTCGGCCCCGGCCCCGGCCCCCCGCCGCGGCCTCCGCCCGAGCCCCAACAGAGCCCGAGAGGCTCCCAGGCGAGCCCCAAGAGAGGCTCCAGAGCGTCAGCGTCGTCGTCGTCGTCGTCGCCGCTGCCGCCGCCGCCGCCGCCGCCGCCGCCGCCGTCGTCGTCGTCGTCGTCGTCGTCGTCGTCGTCGTCGTCGTCGTCGTCGTCGTCGTCGTCGTCGTCGTGGTCGGCCACCGTCGTCGTCGGCCACCGTCGTCGTCATCGGAGGCGGCGGTCGTCGCCGTTGGCCGTCGCCGTCGTTGGTCGTCGTCGTTGCAGTCGGCCCAAAGAGGCCTCCAAGACACCCAAGATGGCCTCCAAGACGGCCCCAAGTCGGCCCAAAGAGGCCTCCAAGACGGCTTCAGACGGCGTCAGACGGGCCAAGAGCTCACCAAGACGGCAAAAGAGGCCCCCGAGAAGCCCCCAAAGGCCCCCTCAGAGGCCCAAGGAGGCCCCCAAGATGCCTCCAAGAGGCTCCCGGGAAACTCCCAGGAGGCCCCAAGAGTGTCCCCAGAGGCTCCCAAGATGCCCCTTCCTCCTCTTCCTCCTCCACCTCCTCCTCCTGATCTTCCCCGCCATCCTCCCCCAAGTGTTCCCTTAATGGTTTCCACGACGGTGGGGGGAACACGTGGCCCGATAGCTTGCCGGAGCTCTTGCCACAACGCCCGGCCACATGGGCGGTTCTAGAAGGCAGGGGGCGGCGGTGATCCGCAGTGGGCGTCTTCGATAACACCAACGTCCCAATGTACGCTGATGCTTCCTATCCACCCCCGCATGGTGTTCCCAGATGCGCCAAGGCAACGCCTTGATGCACCGACGCGACTCTCATATATCCCATCATGACAGAGAGGGGGCCGGCGGCAGGGGGCGAAGCCCTTACGGATTCACGTCCGGACTGCGAAGCACGTCCGAGAGACGGGTGTTGGCGTGGTTGCAAATTTCCCCCCCCTTAACCCCCCACTGGCCTTGCCCCCTGCTGTCGGGCCCCCTTCGCCAAAGATGCCGGAGCTCCTGGGCACGGCCGCGGCGATCCCAGGAGCCTCTCACGTGCGCCCAAGACAGTCCAAGACTGTCCCAAGACGGTCCAAGAGAGCCTCCAGACGGTTCCAGATCGTTCCCAGATGCCCAAGATGGCCTCCAGACGGCCCAAGACGCTTCCAAGACGCCCCAAGAGGCCTTCAAGAGCACCTTCAAGAGAGCCCAAAAGACAACAAATATTGATTTTCCAATGGTTTTTGAACGATTTCCGCGTTCTCGCCATCTCGTCTGACCGACGCTTCAAGACGGCCCAAAAGGCCCCCAAGATCGCCCCAAGACGGCCCAACCAGCCCCCAAGAGGGCTCCAAGACAGCCCAAGAGGGCCCAAAGCGGCCCAAGAGGCCCCCACGACGGCCCAAGAGAGACCCAAGACGGCCCCAAGAGTGGGCTCAGAAGGGGAACCTGGACGGACATTTTGAGCTTTCGGTCCCAAGAGGCCCCAAGGAGGCCTACGAGGCCCCCAGGAGGCAGCTAAAAGGCTCCACGAGTGTCCCAAGAGGACCACACAAAGTCACCAGGAAGTTCCTGGGAGGCCTCCGAGAGGCCCCCAAGCTGCCCCGCAGAGGCCACTGAGCGCTCTCTGGAGAGACCCCGAGAAACGTCCATGAGGACTCCGACCCAAAACCCAAGCACGGTGGCGGGATGGGCCGAGGGCCATTTGATAGATGCTATACGCGCCGCGTCACGACTTTCGAAGCTGCGTGCCACTTCGACAAACTCCCACGGAACGGCCACCTCCCTGCAAGTCCCTCCGAGGGGGCCCCACTCTGCCGCCGGCCCCCCATTTCCCCCAAAATCTGAAACGGCTCCGGGACGACCCAAGTGCGCCCAAGACGGTCCAAGATAGCCCAAGACGGTCTCGATTTGTAAGTATCGACGTCATGGGGCGACTCGCGCTTGATCGGAGCTACACATCCGCCACCGTGCCTCAACACGTTGAGGTGTAGAACCATCCTCTAAGCGCACACCCCCTTCGCGGGCCGCAGGCGCATGACTGCACCAGCCCTACTCCCGAGCGTGCCTTCGCCGCCATGGCGCTTCACTGCGCCACAGCCCAAGATGGACTCCAAACGGCCCATGAAACGTCAAAAACGCTCCAAGATCCTCCAAGAGTCCTGCCAAATCAGTCCTAAAAAGCTCCCAAGCTCCGCCTTCAGACGGTTCCCGACAGTCTGGACGTGGTACCGCGAAGCGTCGTGGATAATGATGCTCATATGCAGAAAAACAATGGTAAAGGGCAGACGAAGCAGAAGTATAATCATGTGTGTGGGGGTGGGGGCGAGCATATATGGACGATATATGGACGTGCCCTTCTCGCTCTCTCTCTCTCTCTCTTTATTTTTTTGTTTCCCTCTCTCTCTCTCTTTTCTTTGCTTCTTACTTCATCTGCCCTCTCTGCTCGTTCGGTTCTACTCTCTGCTGTAACATATATTTCTACCCTTTCTGCTCTTTACTTTCTGATGCCGACTGTCTGCGCTGAACTCTATCTTGTTCCGGTGATCGCAAGCATCTGGAAACCTGGATCCAAGGAGCCAAGAACCCCGGACTCCTGCTGCAAGCCGAAATCGGCCCGACATGTTCAGAAGCCCCGGAAGCTGTGTACCGGACCACCTGCCGAAACCTCAGAAGGACAGTCAGAAGCCTCCTCTAGCCAGTGCCACGTGACAAAATGCCTGCAAAGACGGAGGCGGATGAGATGAGAGCAGGGGATGAATAGGGTGAGAAGGTGGAAAGGAGGTGGAGGAGGAGGCGGAGGAGGAGGCGGAGGAGGTGGAAGATGAAGTGCGCTAAGAGCGCGAGACGAGGAGGGATGAGGGATGGGGGCGAAAGCAGGCGGGGCCCTCGAGCTCCTCCAGCTCCTCCAGCTCCTCCTCCTCCTCCTCCTCCTTCTCTTCCTCCTCCTCCTCCTCCTCTTCCTCCTCCTCCTCCTCCTCATCTTCGTCCTCGTTCCCTCCTCCACCCGACCTCTGGCGATTCGCGCAGACCTCGCGCAGGATGTCTCTCGCTATCCACCCCTCGGCCCCTGAGACGTCTGAGGATGGGACGGCGGCCGGCGGGGAGGGCGTCGAGAGGTCACGGGGGGGCCCCGCGGCTCGAGAAAACACAAAGCAGGCCCCCGGAGGCATGTCTGCTTACACTTCTCCACGCCTCTCCTCCTCCTCCTCCTCCTCCTCCTCCTCCTCCTCCTCCTCCTCCTCCCCACTCCTCCTGCT